GATTCTTCAACAAGAGCAACGTTCATCAACCTGCCACCGCTTCCCTATCAGAAGCTGGCTGGGTAGAAAATAGGGATATTATCCCTTGTGAGGAGGGCTGTTTTAGTAAAGTCTATTTTGAATGCGATGTCGATTTACTATATGTCTATGCTCAGATTACCTTCTGGTGTTCGAAAAAAGTTGGAGTCACTAATGGCTAATTTTTTGTGGGGGATCTCGGCTCAGAAAAGTTGGATCCATTGGGTGAATTGGTCGACAATATGCAAAAAGAAAGATTATGGGGGTTTGGGTATCACATATTTAGATCTGATGAATATGGCTCTATTAGGGAAATGGGTATGCAAGTTTAGCAGTGAAAAGGAGTCCTGGTGAAAGCGGGTGATATATTGTAAGTACAATTTAGATAGAAGGTCGATTTTGTTGGATAAGAATCTTCCTTTCATTTCGTCTTGGATTTGGAAATGAGTAATCAATAAATATTGTTTGAATGATGCTTTTGGCCGTTGTTTTCGCAATCACCTTATTTTGCAAGCGGGGAAAGGAAATTCCATTTTGTTTTGGCATGATAGTTGGTTATGCAACATTCCCTAGGCTTTTCGCCTTGTCAGTCATTGCAAACTATGGTCGCATAAACAATGGGAGGTAGGTCTGGGATATCCAAATGAGACGAAATTTGATGGATTGGGAAGTTGAACAATGGATTGAGTTATTGTCAATGTTGGATAGTGTTCATCTTGGATTGGAGGCTGATGATTGCTATGTTTGGAAAGGAAACGGGTAGGGTGTTTATTCGGTTAAATCGTGCATTAACTTAGTATCAAGCCTGTCCGATCCGGATTTGTCTTGGTCGAAGCTTGTTTGGGTTGGTATATCACCTCCAAAAGTGGAGGCTTTTCTATGGCAGGTGTTCCACTAGAAGTTGGCTGTTAAGATTATTCTAATGAGTCGGGGTGTTAGAGGGATCGAAGATCATCTCTGCTCAGTCTATGGATTGGAGTCGGAGTCGATTTGCCACTTGTTCTTCTCGTGCAGAGTAGTTTGGGGGGTTTGGGGTGCGGTTTCTACGGTTTTGGAATATATATACAGTCTTGCCTAATAATCCCAAGGCATTTTTGTACTCTTGGTTTGATTTACTACCAGACTCGGACATTTGGAAATTCATCCCGGGTGCCATAATGTGGACTGTATGGAAATGTCAAAATCATATAGTGTTCGAAAATGGTAGGTTGGATCAGACTCGTCTATTTTTTTTTGGCTACATATAGGGTGGCTTCCTGGTTCTGGGCAAAGAACTCAAATTTCCCTATTCTTCTAGATTACCTTGTGAGAGATTTAACTTTGGCTGATTTGCACTGTATTCCTACGAAGAAAGTTTCCCCTAAGTCACATTGGTGCCCCCTCCTCCGGGATTTTTTAAAGTGAATGTGGATGGGGCTGTAACTTGTGACTGGAGGTGCAGTGGTATTGGTGGTCTGCTTAGGGATGCTGATTATAAGTGGTTGGGGTATTTGTCGGGAGCGTCCGGACTAGGCCCTCCGATTCTTGCCGAGCTAAAAGCAATTCAAGCTGGTTTGAGTCTTTTTTTTGGGATTCAGAGTGGAGTGATAAGGGGCGTCTTATTTTAGAAAGTGATTCTTCTATTGCTTTGAAGTGGATTAACAATCTGGAGGCAAGTCCGACTGCTTATGTTCATTTGGTTAAGGAAATTGCCAAGAGAGTGCTGGAGTACAATGTGACTATTAGACATATTCAGAGATGTTTTAATTGGGAAGCAGATAGTTTAGCTAAGTCGGGAATAAGATAATGTGGGGTGTTTTGGTTGGGTGTGGTGGTTGAGTGCTTTGGGTGTTTTTGTGGGGAACTTTTGTACTTAAAATGGTTTTATCATGGATGTACTCTATGTTTCAGTAATAAAATTTTGGGAACTCTTTTCATCTTTCGAATGTCCGTTGAGTTACCTACGTAGCTTGATGGTTATGAAGGAGTTTTTTTAATGAGGTCCTACTCTTATAAAAAAAAGTCTACTTTAAGCGTAGCTCGATGATGACCACTATTTCTAGATGTGCACTAAACTTGTTCTTTCCTATTACGACATTGCTTGGAATTTCAGCATCTATTATTGGATCTATCTGCCTACAGTTTTCATTTTGTCTGTAATGAAAGATAGTAAATTGGAGTAATATCCGGTATCCATCTTGGATGAATAAAACCACCGGTGTCTTTTATATGTTTTCGAGGTGAGATTAAAGATTTTGGCTCACAAGCTGTCTTAAAAAACCCTTCTGCCTTTATAGAAAGCTTGAAGACCGGACAAATAAATAGCTAAAGCAAAAGGTATCAATATTTGGACTTCCGATTTACTATTGTTGTTAAACCGTGGACCTAATTCTCTCACTGGATCCGTATGTCTCTTTATGTACTGTTTGGCAGACTTTGATAAAACTGTTTTGATATCAAATGATGTTTTGGGACGTTGCAGGAGTTATGCACTTATGGAGCGCACACTCAGAGTTTACGTCTATAAAGATGGGAAAAAACCCATCTTTCATCTACCGATACTTAAGGGATTATATGCCTCGGAGGGATGGTTTATGAAATTGATGCAAGGGAATAAGCGTTTCGTTGTGGAGGACCCTCGAAGGGTGCATCTCTTTAATATGCCTTTTAGTTCTCGAATGCTGGAGTACACCCTTTATGTACGGAATTATCATAACCGGACAAACCTACGCCAGTTTATGAAGGATTACGCAGAAACTATTGCAGCGAAGTATCCGTACTTTAACCGAACTGGTGGAGCAGATCATTTCCTCGTTGCATGTCATGATTGGGTATGTTCTTCATTTCAAGCATCGTCTTAGTTTCTCGGTTTTATTCTATAACTTCCATAGAGAATATTGTTGCGATTGAAATATGATAACTGAATTTTTATAGACTCCATACGAAACAAGGAACCATATGGAGCATTGCATCAAAGCCCTCTGCAATTCGGATGTCACTGTAGGTTTCAAAATCGGGAGGGATGTTTCTCTTCCAGAAACATATGTCCGGTCCGCAAGAAATCCTCTTCGAGATCTCGGAGGAAAACCACCTTCTCAGAGGCATTTCTTGCCTTCTATGCCGGAAGCAATGATGGATATCTGCGTCCGATCTTATTGAAACACTGGGAAGAAAAAGATCCCGATATGAAGATCCTCGGTCCGATGCCTCCTGGTGTTGCAAGTAAAATGACTTATATCCAGTACATGAAGAGCAGCAAGTACTGTATCTGCCCCAAAGGCTACGAGGTCAACAGTCAACGAGTCGTCGAATCCATCTTTTACGAGTTTGTTTCCGTTATCATCTCCGATAATTTCGTGCCCCGTTTTTCGAAGTTCTGGATTGGGGAGAGTTCTCGTTAATACTCGCGGAGAAAGACATTCCGAAGCTGAAAGATATACTTATGTCAATAGGGCAAGAGAGGTATCTCGCTTTGCAACTCGGTGTCCGGAAGGTTCCACGGCATTTCCTCTGGCATGCCAAGCCCGAGAGGTACGATCTCTTCCACATGACACTTCATTCGATCTGTTATAACAGAGTCCACCAGATAAAACTCAGATAGTAGTAACATCAATGGCCATCGAAAACGAAGAAGCGAGTAAAAATGTGAATACAATTTGGAATCATGTATGCTATGGTTTTTCTTGGATATGTACATATGAACCAATGGTATTTCAATTCGAATCATTTCGGATTTGACACTCGAGTTTGGATCATTTTGAATTACTTCTTTTCCGAGTGTTTCATATATATTTGGGCCATTTTGCCAACCAGACGAAACAGGGTTCAGTTTTCTTGCAAGTAACTGAAAATTTCATGCCGCTTGGAGAAACGAGAGACGGGAGCGTTTACTTGTGTCTCTTTGTTTATTAAATAAAGGGTAAAGATCGTAAAGGGGTCATTTAATTATATTTAAATTATGATTTTAAGCATTCAACTTTTAAAGATTGTAAAATGATCATCTTTATTTTCGTGGTGTGACTGGCTGATGGCATTTGTCCACCATGCTTACCGAAGACTTCGTTTCCATCACGTCACGTGTCTCTAACCAAACAGACCCAATCCCTATCCACTTCCCTAACGACAAATCTCCCCCCACGTGGAGCTCCAATTCCCCTTACATGCCGGTTTTTACAGTTATGCTGGCTACGTGTAATAAGATTCCTTTTTTACCTATCGAAAGATTTAATTGTCATTTTAATCCATCGACTATACTCAATTTAAGATTTAGTCTTTTTACTTTACTTTTACACAATTAGGTGCATAATTTATTAGTACGAACTAAATTCTGATGTGTTTCATGAATTGATATGGTTCCAAGTCTTTTAAATATATACTACTTTATATTTCTCTTGGAATAATAAAAATAATTCTCATAATTGATGCTGATACTAAATACAAATACAAATGTATATGAATAAAATAAAATAAAATAAAAATCGGGTCAAAACTAAAGTCAAAATATAATTTTATCACTGATTTTTCTTAGGATTATATAACTTTTTAAGGAATTAAACTGAAATTCTATTATTTCAGAGGGAGTAAAATAAAATTTTATCATGACCTAATTTTTATAACTTTAGTTTCTGAAGGGATCAGAGTCTAAATTTTACCGTTTGAGGAGTCGAGAACTAAGCACGGTAAAGATGGACACAAATTTTTCCTACTGGTTTTTGTATGCATTAATATCAACATATTTTAATATATCATTTCAGATTTATTGATATTTTTTCTAGATTTAGAACCATAGAACGATTAAAATGATGGTGGATAGGAGTTTTGCTGAATCCCACTGAGACATATTATTATAGGTACAATAAGATTGAATCTTAAACTTTAAAATAATAAAGGGGCTAAATAAAAATTAGACCAAAATCTAAGAGTTTGTAATTTTTCGACAGGCAAGCATGTACATTTAGCAGTTGTAGCGATACTTTTTCTTTTATCTATTTATGCTTTCATTCAAAGTAATTACTTTGAAAAGATAAAAACTGCAATCAAATTTGGGTATTTATGAAGATAACGATATTATCCTCATTCGGCTGGCGAAGTCGTACATTCACTTCTTTTTAAAAAGACAAAATGAAAAAGAAATTCTCAGTTACTTTTGCAGTTCTCTTTGCTTGAACTTGTAGCTTTCTTGGCACCTGTGTACGTGCATTTTGATTTTCCATCTCATTTTCTTTCCTTTTATAAACCTGGGCTTTCAAGTCTCTCGTTTTTTAAAACAAATTATGGGTTTTTGCAGATCTAAGCTACTCTTTGAGGCTTTTGTGATTTGAACTTTGAATTAATCTAGTCGGTTTGTTTTTGGAGATTTCATGTTGTTTTCTCCGTTTTATTTTCCTATCCCTTCTGTTTGGTTACTCAGAAAATGCATAGTGTTTGTAGTTGAACTTGTCATCGGATTGTCTTAAATTTCCATTTTTTTCTATGAATCAGGCAGTGCTGGAAGGTTTTTAATGGAAGATTTGAGCATCAATGGAGGATTTGCTGAACATGAAAACCAGTTATCTGTAAGTACCGATAGAAACCATTTCAGACAGTTTCCTAAGAAAACATAAGTGGATTATGTCTAAATTAAGTTATAATGTTCTGTTCCATTGCATCATTTAAGCCAGATCTGTCGATTCTGATCCGAATTCGAAAATGATTCGAACAAGTAACCCTAAGTAGCCCGAACTAATGCAAATCTTGTTATCAGGTCCATCATGATGCTGTGAATAATACATCACATATTCTGGACTTCCTCTTATTTTCCTCGCCAATGGATGACATTTTTACTTGTCTTTTAACATGGACAACTAATATAAGTCGCAGATTCATCAATTTCGTCGGTTAGTTCTTCGGTTTTTATTATGCACGCGTGTGTTTTGTACATAGTTATTTAGACATTTAGATGTTTCTGCAGAGAATCTTGTTCTCCAAGATGTCTACAGATGCAGAGAAGGTTCCATTGCCTTATCTTCAATGTATTGCACAGAAAATTCGAACTCCGGACTCCGTCAAAGAAGTTCTTCGGAGCAGGAGGGAGAATTTCTTGCAAATACAGATTCTAGAATTATAAAAACCAATAACTGTCGGCAACTAAGGCGAGATGTCCCTTTCATCTATCAAGGGTATCCGTTTTCTTTCCTTCTACTTACATGATATAGGAGTGTGAATATATGAACAAAATGGTTGGTTCTTTGATGACTTGTTCAAACTTTGCGTTGGAAGATGCCATTTCCGATTAGTTCAATAGCAATTTAGATATGACATACAGAAGTTACCCTGACTATATGCTTAAAGATCTAATAATACAGCTGCAATGATATTGTTCATAGTAATGCATCCGTATTCCTCTTTTCTTTTCTTTTTTCATTTACGCTACATGTAGTCGCCTCTACCGGGTTGTAGGTTGATGTTCCCGGTGTTTGCTTTACGGCTTACTTGGCGTCTGGTAATGGCCCCATGGAGATGTAGTTTCTACCATCTGAAACGCATGCAAGCACAAGTCTTTAGGTAAAACAAGTTGATTTCTTTAACTTTGTAAAACTGCTGGATAAGATTCCGAAATGGGAATCCGGTTCATGGTGTATGTCAACTTTTTTATTCATATCTTTTTATGTTCTTTTGTTTTTCCTTTTTCAAATCCGATTCCAACTGCAAAGTCTCGGATCTTCAATAACATTGGTAGGTTTGCTTCTTTATGATGAATGTAACCATTTTTTTTTATTTTCAGCATTGTATCCCGGATGGAGAGAACATTACGCGGTTCTTCCGATGATATTGGGTGGTTGCAATGCACTCCTGGAATGGCTCCCGTCGAGGATGGTACAACAAGATTCCTGGAACTGCTAGAAGCCATAAGGTACCAAATTAGTTTAATTTTTTCTTGGTCTTCCTGAATAATAAGAGATTATTTCGTGCTAGCTGAATCGATATTTTCATGTCCAGGAATGGAGAACACACATTGCCCAATTCATTTGTATATTTATTAGTTCCAGGTAGGAGAATACCGCAGTATCTCTCTTATTTCCTCGTTTATCAATTCAGCATTCGCTATAGCCTTCCGTTCAATATAATGTAGATTTCTAATTCTTGTCAGGCCTTTTCAGCAATCATGGCCCCTTATATTTTGTGGCTACTAAGAGATTCTTTTCGAGAATGGGTCTTGCATGCCATATAGCGAAAATACACAGCGAGGTAATCTTAGTTACTCATAAATTATCTAGATTTCGGAATAAGAAAATTATTCAGGATTGCATTTCTTCTGCATCTTCAAATACCATGATTTGACTCAAGCTTTTGTTGTCCTACAAAGGCATCGGTGGAGCACAATGCATGGGAGCTGAAGCAATACATCGAGGAGCTTTACTGGGGGTCTGGTAAACGAGTAATGCTGCTTGGGCACAGCAAGGGTGGAGTTGATTCTGCCGCGGCATTGTCCATTTATTGGTCCGAGTTAGAGAACAAAGTGGCTGGATTGGCACTGGTCCAGAGTCCGTACGGTGGCAGTCCCATAGCCTCTGATACTCTCCGTGAAGGCCAAATAGCTGACAAAGAAACTCGAAGGATCATGGAACTTCTAATATGCAAGACGATTAAGGTAATCCTTTCCTTCGTCGATGAATCAACACCCGAGTGTAGCAAGAAATATAACCATAGTCTTATGTGTATATGTATGTATAAATATATGTTGCAGGGTGACATGCGAGCTCTGGAAGATCTTACATACGAAAAGAGAAAAGAATTTGTAATGAAGCACAAGTTACCCGAGGGAATCCCTCTTATCTCGTTCAGCTCGGAAGCAATGGTGGCTCCTGGTGTACTAGCTACGTTGACACAAATAGCTCATGCAGAGGTTCCCCGGCTTCCCTTTCTGAAGTTCGGGAGTTCGGAGTTCGACAATGTCAGTGGACTTAGACACCATGTGCCAATTGTAATTCCGGTTTCTGCTGCCATGGCTGTATGTGCTCTCCACTTGCTGTTGAGATATGGGGAGAAGAGCGATGGACTAGTGACATGCCGTGACGCCGAAGTTCCGGGTTCGGTTGTAGTCAGACCCGAGCAAAAGCTTGACCACTCTTGGATGGTGTACTCATCAAAAAAGAAGAATCCTGATGATCCCGGTCCTACCGAAATGTGTGAGGCCCTTTTGACACTACTTGTAGAGCTTGGGAAGAGGAAGCAAGAAGTTAAAAAGGATGTCTGAAAGTATTTTCCATAGTACAAGACAGGCCCTTGTATTAGATCATGGAGTTAATGTTGGTCCGTATACTTTCAAATTGAGCATATATATATATATATATATAAATTTTGTAGGTAAAGCACACAAATAGTCCTCAACTATAGAGTATTTTATTAAATTCATCGACTAATAGTCCTCCGTGTAACATCCTAATTCAATCTTACTCGAAATTCAAAGGGTTAGAATATTTACTGAACCACCGAAATGATAATCATTTTTTAAATCAATATTAAATCATAGATAAACATTCACCGTTTTAAAACGTGGTACAACCAAATATAATAAATTTACAAAAGTAGGGAGCTCCTAATGATACATCCTAAAATGCAAGAGTCACAAGATAGAGTTTATGATTCAAAATACAAGAAGGGTTTATAAAAATACGTCCACTGAAATACTCGAGACTGAAATACTCAAGACGTACTCTGATATTCGATCAAGTCTGAAATTTACGATCTTGTGATGAACTCCTCAAATCGGCACCTACGAAACATAAACACATTTCAAACGTTGAGTTCACAAACTCAGTGCCACACAAATAACACTACTATAGCACAAGTAAGCATCATGATGTAGTTCAAGGTCACATCAACAACACGAAACTCACACCCTTATTTGTTTATGAAAGATACCTTGGGTAAGATCTTGGTCACTTAGCATCAGCGTCTTACACTAATAGCAATCATCGCCAAGTACTTTGGGTGAAGTTCAGATCAGGTAGCATTGGCATCTTGTTTATCTACTCTTCTTGAGTACACAAGACGTGTCTAGGTCAAGGAGCTTCGAAATGACGTCCAAATAGCATCTAAAGTGCACTTGTATTTTAATTGTGCATTTAATTGATTATATCTGGATGTTCTCTACTTAACTAGATGATCGTTGTATTCAAGTAACTCAGATGTCCTTATTGTTTCTCAAGCATTAAACAAGGCATTAATAAGTCTTATGGAATTTTACCTCAGAATGATTTTATGTTATCACACAATTATTAATGTTCGCACTTGCAAGCTTTTGTTTAAAGGTTCTCATCGATCTTAACCTCTTTCCTGGGTCCCTTGATCAAGCAAGGCTTATAGCCGTTACTTTTGTGATGGTACGTATACTCATTTGTATGGTATTAGTACTACTTTCACTTATGATATCAATACTATCCTGAGTATCGGTACCAAATTAGCACAATAGAATTTGAGATAACCCTACCTAGAGTACCGATACTACCTCGAGTATCGGTACTCAATTTGTATTTGATGTTTATAAAAATACCCTAGTATTGATACCCCTACCTAGAGTAATGATACTACCCTCTTGTAGTATCGGTACTGTTTTAGTACCAATGTCAATTTTGACTACTAGAATTTGAAATTGTCTTTTGGTATCGGTATTGTACCCTGAGTATCGATAACCTATGAACATTATTGATACCCCAATAACAGGGTACCAATACTACCTTGCTAAAACCTCATATTGTAACTTATCAAACGAGCAATATCGGTATTGTTTATACAATATCGATATACAATACCTTGTTTTCACAAGGAAATCTCTCCCAAGGCCCTCAAATGTTGTTAAAACTTATATAGGTTCAAGGGATCATAAAAGTTCATTCCTTTATGCATGAATAATATCAAAACCCCCATTCATTCTATGACCCCAAATACACCCAACACGCTTCATGAACACATAAGACAACTAAGTTACACATGTTGATCTATAAGTTTTATAGAAGTGTTAGGGGTGTGTTGCCTTACTACTAGATGCTGGAAAACGTCCACAAGCTCACCCAAACACTAGTTTTTCCTCTCCTTTGCTTTTGGAGTCTTATCCCACTTCTTTCGCTAGACAACAATCAAGGGAATTGGTTATTAACTCATGTAACACCCATAACTCGTATACATATCGAAATATGAGTTAAAGATGTTACATCAACTTTACAAACATTCACTGAACGTAAATGCTTAAAATTTTGTTTCATTATAAAAAACTCTATTATTAACTTTAAAAATATTTCATTAATCACGTAAAATCTCCTTGAAAATGAATTTGATTTTAGGCAGTAATTAGGCAATTTAGTGTTGTTTCATAAACTGCCTAAACACTGCTTCATTTTAAAACCATTTAAAACATATATATATATATATATATATATATTATTTATTCATAAATACATATATAACTAGTCTAGTTAAAATAAAATGTCCAAGTTTACTATTACAAGCCATTTGATTCAAATCCGAATAAGCAAACTAATTGTAACACCCCAATCATCGGGTAAGTGAACAAAATGTAAGAACTTTTAAATTCAGTTTTTGAATTAGAATTAATCTGTAAACTCAAGGATTTATAGTGGAATTGTATGTATGGTTTAATGGAAATTTTGGTTTAATGAAGAGGGTAAAATGGTCTTTTTCTAGAGGGATTTTATCCTCCTTTTTAATGGAGATGTGCACGTGGGTTTGGGTAAAAGCAAAGCAAATTCTGGAACCATTTCCTTTTCTTTTCTTCTTCCACGTGTGACCCATTTATAAGGTAAGTTTTTCAATTATGTTGGTTTCTTTGAATTTTGGTTGGCTAATGGAAGTTTGGATGGTATATAAACTTAAGGAAATCTTATATAGCATTAAATCAACAAAATGAGTGTTTTAGAGATGGATTTGTAAAATGGGGTTTTAGATGAAATTTTGTTATGGATGAGTTTTTGAAGTTTGAATGAGATTTTTGACTTGTCAAGGATTAAACTTAAGAGTTAGAAGTGTTAGATATATCTAAGAACATGGTTGAAAAGTTGGTTTGATTTTGAGATTTAAGTGTTCAAACTGGAATTTGGAGAATTAAGAGTGGTAAGTGTATGATAATTGGTATAGAAGTATAAAGGTGAGTTTTAAAGCTTAAGGTATGTGTTTAGGAGAGTGTTGGGAAGATTTTTAGGTTGAAAATGACCATTCTGGGCTTAGGGTATCGGTACCCTTATGAACATGTACCGATACCTAATGAGTTGAATATGAGTAATTACAAAGGGTTGTATCGATACCTGTTGATAGAGGTATCGATACCATCAGGGTGGTATCGATACCTGAAGGATGGTATCGATACCCTTAAAACATCGAATGTAATTTTGGTATCGGTACCTTGAGGAGGTATCAATACCCTTGAAACATCGAATGTAGTTTCGATATCGGTACATGTGGAGGTATTGATACCCTTGAAGTGGGTGGTATCAGTACCCTTATAGTGGTACCGATACCTCTAAGCATGAAATAAAATATAGGGTTTCTTGCATCCCAAGTTATTATGATCCGATATAATTGAGTTAATAATGATATTGATTTTAGATTGTCTTGATTATCAATTCGAAAAGATTTGGATTAGACCTTAGTGAGGCAAAGGTGAGTGCAACTTCTCTTTATTGAAATAGAGTTGAGGAAGGCTTTTGATAAGACAACCTCCGTGTTTTCGATCAAAAAATTTATATTTATTTTATGTTTTATTTAATTGTTTTATTCAATTTCCATTTTACAAAATGTTTTATGACTATGTGATATGAAAATATGAACTTCGAACCAGTGAATGTGAATATACTCTATGACAGAGAATCTATGTGAATGAGAAACACTTTGCATAAGGAGTGAACTTATTTATGTGATTAAAAGCCCAATGTATATATATGAGGATTAGAGGTATAGTTGGCATGCCAAGAGTCGAGGGTCTATATGGTCATTCGGGACAATTATATGGCACTTCGATGCAACCCTATATGGCACTTCCGTGCAGCCCTATGTGACACTTCGGTGCAAACTATATGGTTCTCCGGGACAATTATGTTGCACTTCGGTGCAAATTATTAGCTGTGGTGACATCATTAGTGCACAACCTCATAGTACTCAAATACATACATTTCTCAGTAGTATACCTTGGGCAATTAGAATAAAGACATATAAAGTATAATTATTCATAAGTATAACTTTGTTATGAAAATAAAGAAAGTTCTTTGAAAAACATTTTGAATTAAAACTGATAAGATTTTTGTTAATAAGCTAGCACTATTAGTATTGTCTCACTAAGTCATTGACTTAGCGTGTGTTTTTCTCACGCGTAGGTTTGAAGGAAGCTGAAGATTGATTTGGGTTGAGGATAGCATACACTTCAGAAGATCAGATCAGAACAAACTAATTGTAGGTTTTTGTTCACTTTGTAAACATTGGCATGTATTATACGTTTAATTTGAAATGCTCTGGTCAATTTTGTAAACTTATATATATTTTGTATGTTGTAAACTCTTACTTTTGGTTATCTATGTGAATTATTAAGATTTTGTGTGAAATGATTTTCTATTATAAGATTATTATTTTCTTTATCTTGATTGGAATAATAAATTTTAAATTTATTTCTATTTGTGAATCTCTTATGTTTTGAAAAGTTAAATGTGACACCTCAGATTCGTATCCGGGTCGAGTACGGGTCAGGGGTGTTACATTTAATGGTATCAGAGCTATGGTTTAAGTCATTTTAAGTTCGAATTAAAGTCGTTTTTGGTTTTAAAAAGAGTACATGCTAATTTTTAATAAAGTCTTTCTGATCTGATAAGGTATCAGTATGCTATCCTTGCTAATATCTTTAGTAATTTAATCTTAATAGATGTCGAACTTTGAAGGCTCCCGAAGTGATGTGGGAGATAGAATATAAGAAAGTAGTAACTCACCTGCCCCTAGCAGGCATAGTGAAGAGCAAGCACAGCCTGGAGTGCCTGTTCAAGATCAGGGGACTTTCTTTCAGACATTGGACGCAATCCTGATGCGTTTCCAACTGTCTGTCTCTTCATCCCCTAAGATGAATGTCCCTAAAGAATTGAAGAGTTTAGAAGCGCCTGAGTTTAGGGGAGAAGTGGAAGAAGGTTCGGTTGCCGCTGATATGTGGCTCAATGATTTGAAAGTGATGCTAGAGAATCTCCATTGATCTGAAATGGAGAAATTGGATGGGGGTAGTTTCATTATTAAGAGGCCAAGCCAGGATATGGTGGTCTAATATGATGATGAGAGTGGAAAAAGAGCATGTGATGTGGTCATTCTTTT